AGTGGTCTAAAGCACCTACTTAGAACAAGCTTAGCAAAGCCCAGGGACCACGGTTCAATCCCCCAGCACCACATGCCAGCCAGCCCCGCCCCCTGGTGGACTGAGCTGGCCACACACACACACACACAAATAAATAAATAAAATTAAAAAAAAAAATGAGACAGAGCAGCTGGGCGTGGTGGCACTGCCTGCAATACCAGCACTTGGGAGGTTGAGGCATCAGGATTGCTGCAAGTTTGAGGCCACCTTGGGCTACAAAATGAGTTCAAGGCCATCCTGAACTGCAAAGTGAAACCCTGTCTCAAAAAGATAAAAAAGGATGGGGTCCGGGGAGGAGAAGAAAAGGAAGTATACAGTGCAAACAAGAATAGTAGCTTCTACTTACAATCTCAGTGCTTTAGAGGCTGAGAAAGGATCAAGGCCAGGCTGGACTACATAGTGAGACCCTAACTCAAAAGTTTTTAAAAATTAAAGTACACAGTGCATTGCTTTTTTGTATATTCACTTGATACAAATGTCACATTAATTTTAGAAAAATTGAGAGTATCTAAAATAGAATATACTACATCATGGAAAAGCAAATTTTAAGTCCTGTAACTATATTGAGGACACTTTAAATTTCTTTTCTACTTCATGGAATGATAACCCTCTGCTTTTTTGAGAAATCATATAAGGTCATTATATTTTATTATATATGACTTGAACACATTGTTTTGAAATGTACATATCTACCTTTAAAATGTGTCATTGTTTAATTTTGAAATGACAAAAACTTAAGTATTTAAAACATTATGTGATTCTCTTTACAAGAGTTTCATCATTAACTTGTTTGATTATCCAAGACTGATAATAGCAAGTATCTATTCTCTGTGCGCAGAAAGTGCTTGTCTAATTAATCCTGACCTCCTTTCCCATCTCTTAGCTCCACAGGGTAATGCAGCTGGCTGTGGTGGTTGCAGAAGTACTCGAGAATGGTTCCTCAGTCTTGGTCTGTTTAGAAGAAGGCTGGGATATCACTGCACAAGTAAACTGTTACATACATTTTGAGATATTTGGTTTTATTTTATATTTGTGTTTTCCTTTAGCTTTATTTTTAATTTTGTGGATGATTCTTTTGTATAGTGAGTAGTGTTTATAGACAAAAAAAGTCCTGTGTTAAATACCTCTTGAGGGGCTGGTGAGATGGCTCAGTGGTCTAAAGCACCTACTTAGAACAAGCTAAGCAAAGCACAGGGACCGCTGTTCAATCCCCCAACACCACATGCCAGCCACCCCCGCCCCCCGGTGGGCTGAGCTGGCCACACACACACACACACACACACACACACACAAATAAATAAATATTTAAAAATAAATAAATACCTCTTGATATCCATGAGGAAGCTCTGGGCTTGAGCCGTCAGCCCCTTAAAGCCTAGAACTCTGGCTCAGGGCATCAGATTCCCACATATACAGATAACCATATAAGTTTGCAGATGGAGCCTTTCATCAGCAGTGTGGGATGTGGACTTTCCCTGATGGGTTTTATCTCAATGAAAGGGAAAGTATCAATATAAACTACATTAACATTTTATATGAATGCAAACTACATTAACACCTTAATCTAGGCCTGCCAAAAAGTAGAATACATTAGAACTCATCCCCTGACCTCATTTATCAAGAAAGACCACCATCAGCAAACTGACCAGTCAAGGATTGAAAATATTAACTCTCTGAAAGAAAACTTGTAGGTGCCGGGGAGATGGCTCAGTGGAATAAGCGCTTCCCTGGCAAACACTGAGTTCAATCCCCGTTCCGCAAAAAAAAAAGAAAGAAAGAAAACTTGCACCCAAAAGGAATTTTAGTTTTTATTGGAAAGTTTGCAGAATCCATTTGCTTGCCATCCTGGAAGAGTTAGTGTATACATTTACTGTCCAGGTAACTTCACTTGTGAATTAGCCATCACTAAAAGCAAATGTTTTTATTTAAGCAACAGAACCTTTTCACAATTGAAATTAATGAAGTATCTATCTTGTTTCCGCCTTAGGTGACCTCCTTGGTGCAGTTACTCAGCGACCCCTTTTATAGGACACTTGAAGGCTTCCGGATGTTGGTTGAAAAAGAATGGCTCTCCTTTGGTCATAAATTCAGTCAGCGAAGCAGCTTGACCTTCAACTCTCAGGGTAGTGGTTTCGCTCCAGTCTTCTTGCAGTTTTTAGACTGTGTACACCAGGTTAGTACAAAAGGTGTAAATTAATTGATCAGAAGGAAAGAAAAGCATTATCATTTATTGAGCATTTCAGTACTGTCTCAGGTACTTTCCTGTCATAACTTAGTCATAGAATTACTGAAATCTTGTTATTAGACTCCTGCAAATGAAGACAAAAAAGAACCAGTAGATTTCTAAATGTAGGACTGCTAACCTGACTCTTGGGCTAGCCCCCGATTAAGGCAGTTTGCACTCCAAATTCCAAAAGAAAATGACCAAACATAGACTTACTCTCTGAGATTTAGACTAGGGTAGAACAGCAAAAATCTCTAGGTATTGGCACAGACTGAAAGCCTACATGTGAATGATCCAATTTGAGAGGGCCCTACGTATGCCTGGAACACAATAGAAAGAGCCTGATCCCAGAGAAATAATCAGCCCCAGCCAAGCAAACTCATGGGGCTGAAATTACTGTGTTAATTCTACAGTCTTTTTTTTTTTTTTTTTTAATTTTTTATTTATTTGTGTGTGTGTGTGTGTGTGTGTGTGTGGCCAGCTCAGCCCACCCGGGGGCGGGGCTGGCTGGCATGTGGCGCTGGGGGATTGAACCGTGGTCCCTCTGATTTGCTTAGCTTGTTCTAAGTAGGTGCTTTAGACCACTGAGCCATCTCACCAGCCCCAATTCTACAGTCTTAACAAAAGGCTAGCAGGTGTCTGGTCCAACCCAGTGAGAGTCCTCTAGACTGCTTCTGTCTTCCCAGCGCATCAATTTCAGATCCCTCTTGGTGGAGATTTGCTCAGTTTTGAGCTTGAGAATTAGATGGCACCTGGCTTTCAAAGTGAAGGCTAAATTGGCACAGGAAAAGCAAGGTTGACATTTCCAGCTTTGTTTCATCTCCACTACAGCCCTAGAGTATAGATGAACTGATTCTGGCATGCCAGATGTAACAGTGGGCCTCTTTGAAATACAAGGATTTCACAAGTATCTATTGGAAAGAAAGATGGAAATGTTCTCAGGAGCCAAAAATAGAACTGGGTCTTCTGAAAAGGTCAAGTAGGCATGTGCCTGTTTTTTTTGTTTTTATTCTATTAATCGCTTGAATTTTTTTAAAAAGTTCAATTGAACTATATTATGTATCACATAGTTCACCTATTATTTTTAATACAGGGTATTACTTGAGCTCACTATGTAGCTCAGACTGGCTTTGAACTCCCAGAGATCCTCTTTCCTCAGCTAAGCTTACAGGCATGTGCCACCATGCCTGGCATAGTTCATCTTTTGAAAATGTATAATTCAGTAAATTTTAGTATATTCAGAGTTGTACACCAATTCTCACAAATTTAGAACATTTAAGGATCTTTGTACATAAAAAATGCATATCACCCCACAAAAAAATTTTATACTGATTAACAATGACTTTCCATTCACCTGCCCCACCACACATACACAGACACATATGCATATACGCAAAAGACCTGTAAACGTATATCACCCTAAAAATCCCATGCCATTATCAGTGATTTTCCATTCCCCTCTCCCACCACACTTGCACATGTGCATACACACACACACATGTACACACCCAGAAGGCAATGCTTTCGATTTCTTCAGTTGGCTTGTTAAAGAAAAGACCTCTAGGGCCGGGGAGATGGCTCAGTAGAATAAGCGCTTGCCTGACAAACACAAGGCCTGAGTTCAATCCCTGGTTCCACCAAAAAAAAAAAAAAAAAAAAAAAAGACCTCTTAGGGCCAGAGAGATGACTCAGCAGACTAAGCACCTGTTTAGGGAAGCAAAGGGACAGGGGCTCAATCCCTGGCACCACATGCTCACCGGCCCCTTCCCCAGGGGGCAATGAGCCAGCTACCAAGACCAGCCATGGTGGCTCATGCCTGTAATCCCAGCACTGGGGAGGCTAAAAACAGGACAATCACTTAAAGTCTAGGCTGCACAGTGAGACCCTGTACCAAATACATAAAATAAGATAAAAGAAGAAAGAGCTCCTGAATAATTTTAGTCCATCTTTCTGAGCAGCAGCTGGAAGCACTAGTAACCAAATTAAGCTTACCTTTAAACTCTGTAGCTAACAGTATATTCTCTTTAAATATTGGCCTTTTCATTCACATCCTTTTGGCACATAGATGAAGGAAAAGTTAGAGACTGTTGTTTCTGAAAAAGAAAGCTTAACCAAGGCCAGGGAGAGGAACAAGAACCTCTTCTTGCTTCTATATAGATGAAAGCATTTAAATTCCTCCTGAAGGTACTTATTATTTTGCTCATTGTTCAATTTCCTGTTCCCACATACCACCACTACTAAAAATAATTAATAGGTATTTATTTGTACTTTTCTAAGTACTGTATGTTATTTTATTGTATAAACTTACGTAATCTTTAAAACTTTTCCTAACCTCCTTCATTTGTATTCCAATAAGTCATGTACTGACTTATTTGGCACCTATAAAATTATCATAGTATATTTATTTGTATGTGTCTATTATCTTCTACTTAGACTGAAGAATATTGGGAATACTAGTCCTCATGTCTCCAGTAGCTAACACAAGCATAATTTATCTCTGAATGTAGTATACATTCTATATATGTATTACCAATTAATTAATTTAATTTTTTAATTAATAAAACTTTGACCCAAGTCTTATTCATGCTCTCACTAACCTTAATCAAAACCAGTTAGAATATCCTATGTAGGATTGCTAGGAATCTGTTGAGGGCTCAAGTACAGTGCTTTTCTTCCACTTGTAAAAATCTTTAGCAAAAACATTTTTTTTTTTTTTTTTCAAAACAGGGGATTGAACTCAGGCTTTTGCACTTGCCAGGCAAGTGTTTATTCAACTGAACTATCTCCCTGGCCGTTTTTTTTTTTTTTTTTTTTTTGTATTTTAGGGACGGGTCTACAGGGTGTTCAGGGTCTTACTACTAGATCAGACTCCTAGTGATCTGCCTATTTACAGCCTCCAAGAGCTGCAATTATAGGCTTGCACCACCATGCCCCAGTCTCAGTTATGTCTCAGCATGCCCCAAGGGCCAAATTGAATTCAGGCCCTTGCACCTGCTTGCAGACACTTTAATCCACTGAACTATTTGGCCAGCCCTAAACAAAATCCTTTGGTAGTTCTACATTTTCTGAAAAATTATTCTTTTGCATATCCAGTTTGAATATAATAAAATTCATTGTCTTGTCAAGATTTCACTTGAAAGGTTCTTAATTATCTTTACTGGAGGCTTTCATTTTATCTTGGTAAGAGCATACAACCAAGCCAGGCCTGGTAGTGCACACCTATAATCCCAGGACTCAGGAGGCTGAGGCTGGAGAATCGATATTCAAGGCCAGTCTGGGCTACATAGTGAGACCCTATCTCAAACATACACACACACACACACACACACACGCACGCACGCACACACAACCAATTTTTACCCCTGCATTGAAATCATATCCCTGATAATTCATTTGAAAACTAAATAGAGCATTTGACTTTCTTTTAGGGTCTTTGTATATAAAAAAAAAAAAAAAAGAAAAAGGACATCAGTAACTGTTAAAATTATAACTCATATAATGAGCTGTTTATAGTCAAAGAGCACGTGGGAACAGAACCCAGAGAGGCATCAGCAGATTCACGTCACCCGCATGAAGCAGTTTCTGAGGCATAAACTCACAGAGAAGAGTAGCAAGTGAAATCATCTATGCAGACTTATTTTAATAAGAATTATAATAAACCCATTTTTTTATTTTTAAAAATAAATTCAGTGGAACATAGGCTATTTATCTTGGAGGTTAGTTAATGTTTGCAATACATAATAATTAAATCATCTTGGAGATTCGGTATACATACATAGCACATCTTAATTATTTTTACTTCTCCTCCCTGTCTCTCCTTCCCCTTTCCCTCCAGAACCTGAGAACAAAGTCTACCTTACTGTATCCTAACATGTATCTGTTTTTATTTTTCTCTTTAAATTATATATATATTGGGTTTCTCATTTAAGAGAAGCCATGTCTGCATCTGATTTATTTCTCCTAGCATTGTGGTCTTAAAGTGCATCCATTTCCTACGAATGGCTCAAATTAATCCTTCTTTATGACAGAGTAGCACTCAGCTGTGCACTACCTCACCACGTTTTCTCTATTCATTTGTCTGTTAATGGGCCTATAGGCTACTTCCAGGACTTAGCAGTTCTGAGTAGTACTTCTGTAAACATGAGTATGCATGTGTCACTGTAATATGTCTGTAACTCTTTGGGGAAGATACCCAGATGAGGTATAGCTGGGTCAAAAGAAATTTGGAGGGGTTTTTTGTTTTTGTTTTTGAGGAATTTTTTGTATTTCAGAGAAGGGTCTACAGGGTGTTCAGGGTCTCACTACTGGATCAGACTCCTAGTAATCTGCCTGTTTACAGCCTCTCAAGAGCTGGGATTACAGGTGTGTGCCACCACTCTCAGTCTCAATTGCCATCTCAGCATGCCCCAGGGGCAGGGCCAGCACAGCAGGCCAGGGGATCAAACACCAGGCCCCTGTACCTGCTTGCAGGTGCTTTAATCTGCTAAGCTATTTGGCCAGCCTTTTTTTTT